GGGAGGGGGGGGAGACTCCCCCACAATCCCCCCCCACCCGCGGCGGCCCCGCGGACCGGCCCCCGGGGCTCCGCCGTGGGCTTTGGTGCAATATGGGGACCCGGCCCCGGCGGCGGGTCCCCGCGCCCCGTGGGGACAAAGTGCTTTTTTGGGAGGATTTTCCCTTTTCCTTATTTTTTTTATTATTGTCGATTTCGTTATTTTAAAATTTTTCGTTATTTATTGCTCTTTCTTGATTATTTAATGAAATTTATTTAGTTTTTTTATTACGATCGCTGTTATCGTCACTATTATTATAATAACTATTTCAGCTATTATAACGACTATTATTATTATTATTATTATTATTATTATTATTATTATTATTATTATTATTATTATTATTATTATTATTATTTTTCAGGGGGAGACGCCCCGCACGGGCCGACCCCCCCATCCAGCCCACCGGAGCCCCCCCGGTACCCAGCACGACCCTCTGGGTCGAGCCGCTTCGTTTCATTTTTAATTCGTTTTAATTAAATTTTATATATTTATTTTTAAATTTTTTTCCCCCCCTCCCACCCCAATTTTGGGCCGTTTCTCCTCTCCCCAGCCCTGACCCCGACCCCCCCGGACCCCCCCGGCATTGGACACCCGCTGCCCCGGCCCGTGGGAGCGAGAGGAGCCCGCGCTGCGGCGCGGAGCGAAACTTTCCGAAGCAATAAAGAGGCGCAGGGAGGAACGAACCCCAATTTCTATCTATGCAAGAGGCCCGGCCCGGCGGACGCTCCGAGATGCACTTTGCTTTGGGGGGGCCCCGGCCCCGCTCCTCGCCCCGGGAGCTCCTCGCAGCGTGTGTGTCAGGACGTTTTTTACCTGTTTTAAAAACTTGAAACGGAAAAAAAAAAAAAAAAAAAAAAAAAAAAAAAAAAAAAAAAAAAAAAAAAGGAGGAAAAAAAATCATGATAATAATTAAAAAAAAAAAAAAAAAAAAAAAAAAAAGGAGAAAAAAAAAGAAAAAATGGGGGAAAAAAAAGGAAAGAAAAAAAGTTTTGGGAGAAAAAACTAAACCGGGGAAAAAAAAAACAAAAAAAGAAAAAAAAAAAAGGGAAAAAGAAACAAAAACCCACAAACCGTTGTAGCAAAGGGGACCCGCTGCCCGACACCAGAAGTGCTTTCGTGTTTCCGTTCCGTTTCATTTCGATTAATAAATATTTATGGCCAACGATATGCAAGACCCCCCCGCGCCGGGCGCCGCTCCCGCTCCCCGGTCCCGGTTCCCGGTCCCCGTCCCCGCCGCCCGGACACTGCTCAGCGGCGGCGGCGGAGCGCGGGGCGCGGGGCCGGGGGGCCCGGCCGTTCTGCATGCACCGGCCCCCTCCCCTCCCTCCCTCCCTCCCTCCCGGGGCCGCCCCCCCCCGGCCCCGCTGGACGCTCGTCGCCCGGTCCCGGCCCCGCCAGGACTCGTCGGCCGTGACGAGCCGCCGCCGGTGCGATCGCGGCGAGGCTGTAATTACCGAGCGTCCTTCGACGGCGATTAATAAATATTCAATGTTGACTCCGCCGCTTTCGCCGCTTTCCTTCCGCCCCGGGGGCACCGGGGGCACCGGGCCGAGCCCTCCCCGCCCGCCCCCGGCGGTGTCACCGCCGCTCCCGGCGCCCGAATGCGCGGCCCGCGGGGCGGCGGCGCTGATATAACGCGGCTCTGCCCCACGGGTGTCCCCCCCGGGACCGGGGAGGCGGTGTCCCCCCCTCACCAATTAAGGCACCGGGATCCGGAGCGGCGGCCCGGCTCGGTCCAGCGGCGGTGACACCGCTGCGGTCCCCTGGGAGCGGGAGCTCGGAGTTTGGTGCCCGGGGTTGGCACCGGGCCGCGGTGCCGGTGGCCTCGGGAAGGGTGCGCGGTGGCCGTGGCCAAGGCCGGGCTCCTCGGCGGCGGCCCCGGGAAGCCGGTCGGCTCCCGGCGCGGTGCCCAGAGCTGGTGCCGGCTCCCGGTGCTGCTTCCCCGTGGAGCCTCGGCTCGGTGCCCGGTGCCAGCGCCGGTGCCAGCGGCGATGTTTGTGCCGGCTCCCGGCGCTGGCGCCCGTTGGAGCCCCGCAAGCTCCCGAGCCGGTTCAGGGAGCCGGTGCCCATGGGAGCCCCGGGATTCTCGATGAGATACCGGTACCCGATATCCGGTGCCATTCTCGGTGCCCGGTGCCGGTGCCCGGTGGAGCCCCGGGGAGCGCGGCGCGGTGCGGATGCCCGGAGCGGAGCTGTCCGCTGCGGCGGTGCTGAACGGGCGCCCGGGCCTCTTAACGGCCGTGGGTTTATTCACCGTCCGCACCACCGGGGCTCATCGCCACCCGACGGCCTCGGGCACCGGGCAGGGCCGGGCACTGGGCTCCCGGTCATCACCGGTTCCCCGCGGGATCATCGTGCGCCGGGGCCGCACAGGGGCTGCGGGGACGGAGCCACCGGTTTCCTCCCGGGAGAGGTGTCCGATACCCGCGCCCCGCAGCCCCGCGGCTTTTGGGGATAAACCGGGCCGGTTTAGGGTCGGGCCGTGACTGCAAACTGGGGCCGGATCCAGCGCGGCCCCGACGTGCTGGGCCCCGTCCCAGAGCCACCGGCTGTGAGGAGTCGGGCCTGGGCTGGGGAGCGGATCCGCCACGGCCCCACGAGCCGCTGCAGCGGCCCCCGACCCTCCGGTCGGGCCCCGGCACTCGCCGCTCTCCGCAGAGCAGCGGATCCTCTTCCGACGGCTCTGGCCCGAACATCCTCCCGGGACTCGTTTCTCTGGGGAAAAAGCCCCGGGAGGAGCCGGGGACAATCGATGGGGCCGGACGGAGGCTCCGTGGGGCCGAGGCTGTCGGTGCGCGGCCCTTCTGCCGCCATCCGCAACCAGCGGCACCGGGGCCGCGGCCCGGAGCAGCGGCGGCGAAGGGCGGATGCCCCTGCGGAGGGGAGGAGGGGGACGCGGGGGCCGGGGGCTGCGGGGGGGCCGCCGACATCTGCTCCCGGGGCCGGCTATGCCAGGGGGTACCGGTCCCGCTGGCGGGGCCGTGGTTTATATTCAATTGTCGGGATTTTTGTTTCCCCGGTGCCCGCCCGGCCCCGCTGAAGATGCCGGAACCCGCCCGGCTGCTCCGGCAAGGCCCGGCCCCGCAATGCGGCCTCGCACTCTCTGCACGGCCCCGGTGCAAAGCCCCGGAGAACAGCTCCGGTGCAAAGCTCCGGTGGGAGGTTTTGGTGCACGGTTCCCGTGAACGGTTTCGTTGCAAAGCTCCGCTGCCCCGACTCGGTACAAGGTTCCGGTGCCCGGTCCTGGTGCCCGGCTCCGAAACACAGCCGCGGTACAAGGCTCCGGTGCCCGGTCTGGTGCCCAGCCCTTCAGCCCGGCGGCCCCGGTGCCCGGCGGCTCTCGGGGAGGGAAGCGGGAGGTCGGGAGCCGCCGCCCTGCCGGGATCTGCGAGTATCTCGTGTGATCGTGGGATCAAATTCACCTCGGGTGGGTTGGGGGGTCTGGGGATCTGCCGGGACCCCGCACGGCTGCAGCGGGGCCAGCGGAGCTCGGCCAGCACCGAGGGAACCTGGCGGTGGCGGCTCGCCCGGACGCAGCCCGGCTATTTCAAAGCAGGACGAGATAGGGGTGGGTGTCTCCCCCCACACCACCCCCGGTGCCCGCGGTGCCCCCCGGTGCCCCTGGCAGGCCTCTCTCCCAGCCCGGCGGAGCGCGGCGGGGGCGCAGGGCGAGCGCCAGCTCCGGGTCGCCGCTGCCACCGGCGAGTGCCAGCCGGGGGGGGGGAGGAGGAGTCATTGCTTCAGTTTAAATTTCATGGCATCTGTTCATTATTATACAGTGCGGATTTTTATATGGACAGCTAAATTAAAGACAGATTTCTGCCAAAATTGCAGATACCATAAAAAACCGGAGGCTCCCGGCGCCCGGCGCTCGCCGCGCTGCGGAGGCGGCCCCGCTCCGGGGGCCGGGGGCTGCCCGGGGGTCGGGAGGGATGTGGGGGACCGGGAGGGATGTGGGGGTCAGTAGTGGGGGGGCTGTCCCCGTTTTTGTGCGACGGGGAGCCCAGGCCGCCGTCCCCCGTTGGGGAGCGGGGGGTCCCGGCGGTCCCCGGAGCCGCGGCCGGGGCGGACCGGGCTGGCAACGATCCCCGCCGCCCCGGGGGCTGCAGAGCCGCCCCCTCCCCCGCCCGGTCTGCCAGGCTCCATCGCAGAGGAGTTAAAACAAGGACATCTGTGCCTGGAATCGCTGCGAAGCTCCGAACCTGCCAGCGCCTGCTGGCACCGGCCGCCGGCGGAGGCGGCTTCTCCGGAATGCGGCACCGCCGGCAGCTCCGCCCGGAGCCCCGGCCCGGCCCCGAGGGCTGCGGGGCCAGGAGGGCCTTGGCCCGGCTGGGCAGTGTGCCCACCTGTGTCTGCCCCCATCTCGTCCCTGCCAGTCGCAGCCCCGTGGGAGCCGTGTTTCGCCACCATTTACCCCCTGCCCCACTGAACCCTGCCTCCCATCTTCACACGGGGTACGGGGGTGGTGGGAGATGGAGGGGGTGAGGAGGGAACCCTTCACTCCGGTGGGGCACGGGCACACGGGCAGAGCTGGGACGGGAGAGAGCAAAGGGAGGCAGGC